CCCCCCCCCCCGTCGGGGAAGACGATAATTTTGTCGGGGAACAAACAAACAAAAAAAATTTACATGTAATATTCGTTTAGCCACCATATTGTTTGTGTTAAATTTCATCACAACAACAATAACGATAATAATAATAATAATAATAATAATATAATAATAATTCAATTCTGTTATGACAAATACTCATTTAGATAGCCTCATGATGGTTGGAATACATCGTGATAGGTGAAGCAACCTCGACCATGACGGCATGGTTGACAGATTTCATGCAACATTTCCAAAATATAGAATTTAAATTTCAAGAATGAGGATTTGAAAATAAATTAGATGGTTACATTGCATACTCTTTGTTTCTTGCTTTATTCAAAATGTTTTGGTTTTGGAAGCTGATTTCAACTCAACATCAGAAAGTACTACTGTATAGCTTACATGAAGTGATATTATAGTAACTCGATGCCTATCAAATAGGCCTAAGTAATAAAAATTCGCCATAATTCATCAAATATCCGTGGCTTCCAGGGGGCTTCGCCCCCCTGGACCCCCACCGGGGGGCCCTAGGCGGCTCCCTGGCCCCCAGCCAAGTGAGACTCGATTCGCTTCACTAGCTCCCCCATTGGTGCCTTTAGCCCCTCCGTCGGGCAGGTCTTGGCGCCACCACTGTTCTCATATAAAACTTTTTTATTCTGACAATGACAATTCAAATTAATTTTTATTATCTCAATTAAATAAAAGGATATAATAATTTATCAACTTTGAACTAGAGAAACATATCAAAGTGTTGTTAAAATTATCCAGTGTAATGTAAAAATGAATATCAAACTTTATGAGCTGCTACAAGAAAAATAATGTCTGCTGCCCTCTACTTACATTTAATTTTTAATCAATTTGTATGTGAAAAATATGCTTACAGTAGTCAAAGGCAATTGGTCTGCTGCCCTTTGACTATTAAATTCAATCCAAATTCATGAATTTACCCAACAAATATTGCCTTAAATCATATTTTTTTTGTTCTCCTTGAGATCTGGTAAATGAGCTTTCTTAATACAATTAATTTTATTCTGCTGCACATATATACCCATCAGAAGTGTCTTAAATGAGACAATTATTGATAAAAGGAGTAAAAACATACAAATAGTACTGTATTATGAATTTGCAGGAGATGGGTTATTTTTCGGGAGATTCTTGCTTGCGCAGGAGTGCAGGAGTCTGTCACAATTTCCGAGGGACTCATGCATAAGGAAACAGAGGGTCTATGCTTGTCAATGGGGTCTGTGCTTCTTCAGAGTTTGTGTTTGTCCATTAGAGGGAAGGGAATTGTCCCAACACCTGCAGGTGCCAGTTCATTATCATCATCCCCTCCCCAATCATTCTTACAATAAAGACAAAAACTGCACACAATGTCACTATTCACTTCGCATTTATTAAAAACATATCAATCATATTAAAACTTAACTAATAATTACTCTTACCAGAGAGATGTATATTTTAAATCTCCCTGCTCTTTCAAAATTACATTTTAATAAGAGTGCAGGCCTAGTTTGTTATCATTGCCAGCCCATGGATCATTTTATTAAAATCTAACAGTCAGACAATGCTCTGTATCAATTGAGCCAATCACATGCTAGACAAACCAGGATGTCTACATTTGTAATGAATGCACAGAAGTGACATGCACTTGTTTAAATCTAGTCTTCAAGTTTGGTAGCCTGCAATTCATTAAGGTTGCTAGGTATTGGATTATATTATTATTTGGCTGAGTTTGCCTGAGGAAACAATTGAGAAAAAAAAATCACATAATTTCAAAAAATATGTTTTACTTCATTGGTATACTGCATTAGACCGGGGACTCACTGCACACGAAAGTCATCGGCTGACGCAATTCTACAAAAAACTCGGCGCGACGACACGCGCTCAACGGATTGTTGTTATTGACGATCCATTAAGACTACCACTGATAATCAACAGACGACGGCATGTCATCTATCGCTCACAGGGAATGGAGTTGAATTCGTCATACAACGCAGGGAGTGCCCGGCTTATTTCAATTAGCTACACATGAAAATTCAACCAATCAGCTCTGTATCAAACCAATCACATGCTAGACAAATAAGGATGTCTACAATTGCAATGCATGCACAGGGACATGCACTTGTTTAAATCCAGTCTTCAAGTTTGGTAGCTTATAATTCAGTAAGGTTGCTAGGTATTGGATTATATTATTATATGACAGAGTTTGCCAGAGAAAACAATTGAAATACATATCGCATAATTGCTAAAAATATTTTACTTCATTGGTATACTGCATTAGTCGTGTAGGCATTAAATCAAACCAATTAGCTGAGTCATGTGCTACACATGAAAATTCAACCAATCAGCAGAGTATTTAGCCACACAGCAAATCATACATTAATTCAACCAATCACTCTGAGTCATTGGCCACACATACAATATATTTAACCAATCAGTGCATTTTAACCATGCATTTGTTAAATCCAACTAATCAGTGAGTGCTAATAATATTAGTATGCTCTACACCCAATCAAGGATGAAGTTCTAAGGACGTTTACATTTTCTACAGCTAAAATGGATAAATGTAAGACTTGAAATTTATTATCAGACTATTTAATACAAAAACCTAAGCACTTAGTATAGAGGGCGCCATCCTTCTTGGATAGGTCTATAGCAGTTGGGAAATTAATGCCGAAGGACAATGATGTCACAATTGGCTTATACAGTAATATACATTAACACCTGAGATGTATATATTTTTACAACTGTAATTATTAAATACATAAAAACCTATGCAAATAAATTTTATACATTTTCTGTACATTTTGAGAGTCTTTTATCCAAATTAATTACACCTTTTTAAGGAGAAACATTTAAATTGATGATTTCACTGATCATACATATAATTCACAAAAATGCAGAAATGTAAGAAATGAATGAATATGCAATTATGGTTTGCTACATTCCCATCCTTCTATACATAATGAGAATTATGAATATAATTTTTTCTTGAAATAATGATAAATAAATTTAAGTCAGGCTCCGGAGGAAAAACATTTTTTGATATGTTGTAGAACTGATTTTTCTAAGACAGAAAAAAGTTGTTTGACAAAAAACTGGGGAACGGTGAATGAGATACAGATTTTTTTATATTTAAAAACTGGGGGAATAAGGTGTAAAAATTGGCAGTTACGCCCCTTTTCCCCCCAGTTTTTTAATATTAGAAAATCTGTATCTTATTCACCGTTCCCCAGTTTTTCGTCAAACAACTTTTTTCTGTCTTAGAAAAATCAGTTCTACAACATATAAAAAAATTGTTTTCCTCCGGAGCCTGACTTTAAAATAGTCAACATTAAATTTCACCAGACAACTGAAAATTATTTGTTTCTTTATATGTTTTGCACTCATAATTATGTACTTCAACATACAATAAATAAAAGTAAAACTGTCAGGATTAAACGAGGAAAACCAAGATAAGTTGAACTGAGATTTAAACAATCTATATTACAAAGTATCTATATTCAGTTTAAAACTTTGTACAAACTCTATATAAGTCTTCCACTGACTGACTATGTTTCAAATAATCACTATAAGAAAATGAAAGCTTTGTATTGTTGGTTCAATCAATCCTCTTTGTACGTTCACCTTAATTCTTGGAATGCTTTTGTCCTGTGTTGGTATCTGCTTAGCATATACCTGATTGCAAGCACACCCACGCAATTCACACACACCCACACCTGCACACCTCACATTCGTACCCTTCACACTTGCACCCTTCACACCAGTGCCCTCACACACACTCCCCCCACACACAGTGGTATGTTTCAGCTGCTTGAATGTACAGCATAGATTATCAGGATTCTTGTTTGGTGGTATGGTTGAGCAGTTTTTCTTGGTGGAGATTGGTATTGATTTCTGTAGAAAAAGTACATTTTAATGTGCTTGTATGTTGAAATTGTGCAAAAGGGTTTCCATATAATGTAGACAGTATATATTCTCCTCTTTTATAGTAATGGCCATCCTGTTAATCAACCACAAGGGCAAAATCTCATTGTTCACAAAATCTTCCTGTTCTTGTAAGTCAAACACAAGTCCTACCACACATCGCAGCAAAGAACGGTACAACCAGGGAGTTGTAGGCCTAAACTCCCTGGTACAATCTTTAATCTAAGTCTGGAATTGGAGCCATGGATTTAGCACCCTTCATTTTAGTCAGAGCCTTTGATAAATCAGCCATCTTTAGAGGACGCAGCCAATCTGACCCATCAGGGACATCACTCCTATGAAGCAAGGAAATAACGATTATAATGTTCAATATTAATAACTTAAATTAAGATTAGCATTAATCACTTAAATTTTATGAAATGAAACATAGTACTACTAGGTTTATAGCTGAAGTTCCCTAAAACATTGTTTTAATCTGCTATATCTACAATTCTAAGACAAAAGTACAGACATTGTGTCCACCTTACACACAACAGTGCCTAAACTTGTAAAACCCAATGCTGTACCTCAATATAATATCTGAAAACTTTTTGCTTTTAAATTATTTTCTTGTCTGACTTACTGCCATTGTGTTATATTTTCAAGTACATTGTCATGTGAATTCAAGCACATGGTGCAGTGGTATATGCCTTTCAGCATAATGCAGTATTATTCTTTCAATGTACTACTCAATTAACCACCAAGGGTCAGTTGCACTGTGGCTACCATGAGAGCCCATGGGGGCTAGCTAAAACTTACTTTCATAGGAGTCACTTCATCACTTATATATACTCAGCTTTATAAACCCAAATACATTTATGCTAACATTTCAAAATTGTTATAAAAAGGAAACTTTAAAAGAAGCCAAATGTGTGGACATACTTGTTATCTTTTGCATAATCCTGCACTCTGTACACAGAGGCTGCTCTACACAGTTCCTTCAGATCACTGCCTGAAAATTTCTCCGTCTCCTGTGCTAGCTTATCTGTGTCAATATCTTCACTTTTCTATAAGATATTAAAGGCATATATATATTAGAATCAGTATCATCATCGTCATCAACATCGCTGTTGTTAATAGTATTCTCTTGTGTATCACACAGCACTAAAAACCTCTATGCTTTCAAAAAATGGAAAAAACGTAAATAAACAACTTTTATTAATGATTAACTAAAAATAACATTAGCAATTACGTGGACATTTTGATCACAATCAGCGATCTTTTTTAATTGATGTTTCTTCAGTCTCTGGTTATGATATTATCAGTCCAATCAGGCTGAAGTAACAACATAATCATGGACTTCATTATAGGAACAAGAGCCGCTCACTGGCACACATGTTCCTCCACACTTAAATACGGTACAGGTGCTAGTTATTATATTGGGTTTTTTGGAAGAGCTAATAAGATAGAAATTTTTAAATAATTAGAATGTTTATTTGTACCAAAAAAAATTTTATTTAGAATATTCATTTGTACAAAATCAAAATATCTTAGAATTGAAAAAAACAAATTTCTTAAAATTGGGAAAAAAAAAATTGAATACCAAGACGCAATTCGAACTCACAACCTTAAGTTCTTTAGAACACATTCTTAACCGACTGCATCACCCATGGGACATGCTCTATTAGTGGTAATGGCAGTAATGTACAGTCCATCCTGAAACCCCTGTTTTGTTTTGTAGGTGTAGGGAGAAATCATCTCTAGTTTATGTGTACAAAATTTCCTGCACGTCCTTTGAAAACTGGTGACGCTGGACACTTTAAAGTTTTGGTAACAAGAACAAGAACAACAGTGAGGCTCTGGGGACCCAACAACACTTCATTATAGGAACCAGATGATTCGAGACAGAGTGGAAAAACTGGTACTGGATAGTCATTTACAAGAAATGTGTTCTCAACAGAAAAATACACTTTACACTAACTGTGTATCATGGTTCAGTTGGCAAAGAACACAACAGGTACCCCAACAGGTAGTCATAGGTTTAACTCCTAATGGGGACAATAAGTTTTGTCTCAAAAATGTTATTTAAAAATCAATAAAACAGAAATTACAAATTATTTCATTTATATTACTGTATTACTTTTGTTGGGGAGGAGCAAATACATAGAGGCAGTCTGTACAATACACAATTAGTATATATTGCAGCACACATTTATTCATTTTATTTATTTATATTGCAGGTCTTGCACACCATCCACAATGCAATGTTGCTATGCCAACCAGTATGTGATGCAACTAGCGAACATTTTTGTGTGCTTGATTGGTGAAGAATCTGTTAAAATTATGCCATATGGAGGCAAACAATAATAATCCAAACATGATACTTACATCTTCACTATCTAATATAATGTCTAGAATATTTTTCCTTGCACGTTTGTTCTGAAGCAAAAAAAGAAAATATAAGATAAGATATATTTGGTGCAAACACCAGGGATAACCCATGAAAGTCGGAAGGCTATCCCCTACTCTTTTTCAAAGAGTGCATTGTGTTCTTTAACATGCACATCACTTCAGCCCTTTCAGCTGAAACATACAGAAAGCAAATGATGAAATGGAACCGGGTACCGAAGGATCTCCACGGTTCAACGCACACCCAGTGGTTACCAACAGTTTAGCCAACTGAGCTATGCTGCTCTCTATACAATAATTTTTATGAAGCACCAACATCATATGTTATATAATTTATTTTAAGTTTTAATCCAAATTATTATTTAGCTCCTGTTCTTTTTTAATTATATAAGAAAATAATAAATTTTAAATTGTTATTAAAATTGTTTATTGAAGAGTATATGAAGAGATATGCTTACTGGTAATTGCACACAGAAAACGCTTGGCATTCTTCTAAGTATTGCAGCATCGACATCTTGAGGACGGTTGGTAGCACCCATCACCATCACCTCAAAAATAACATCAACAACTACAATTGAACTGATTACTCTTTGCAGCTTATAGTTTTAGCTATTTCTCATTTTGCATAACAATCAACACTCTAAAACTAGCCAGGAAATACAAAACTAGAAAGTCCAGGGCTGTAGTTTATATTGCTAGTTTATATAAATTACAGTGTGTAATAACGTACAGGTAAAAACCTTCAAAAAGAAAATTTAGAAAAAAAACATGAATGTAAAATTTAAAACAAGCATTTTCGTTTTGTAGCAAGAGGTTTGGTCTGGTTTCCAATCCTTGCTGTGCCTTTCACTTGTTCCCCTGAGCAAGGCACTTTACAATGATTTAATCTACAAAACTAAATCAATGGGTACCAGCAAATTTGCTGGGGTAACCCGTTATGGACTGGCATTCACCAAGGAGGAACATAAAACACTCCCATCTGCAGATTTACTATTTACTAACAATCATATATAAAAATGTTCTCTGCTGGCTGTGTTGTTTAATGAGCAAACAAGTTAACAGGATCTAAAGATATATGAAAAAAGTATTTTTGTAAAAATTTTGTGAGCTACTTCTTACATTGTTAAAATAAATAACATTGGTGTCATCATTCATAATCTTTTTGTTATTAATTTCGCTTGTGTCTTTGAGCAAGACACTTCATCAGCATTGCTTCTTTCCACCCAGGAGTATAAATGGGGTCGCCTGCTCCTGTGCTGTATACCAGCAGCAACACTTAAAGGCGCTTTATAACCGCAAGGAAGAGGCGCATTATAAATGCCCCTACCAGTACCAGTAATAAAACAGAAATACTGCATCTGATATCCTAAATGAATTGTTTATCTGTTAACTTTTCCAGGAACTGAACACACCTGAATGAATAACTGTAAAGCTTATTACAGCATTTGTGATTGGTGTTCATTTCCTTAATGCAATGTTGTCAATACTGTATATACTGGTGTTCATTTCCTTAATGCAATGTTGTCAATACTGTATATACTGTTGTCAATACTGTATATGAATTTCTCTCCTACCTGACACTGTGGGTCTGTTGCAATTCCATCCCATAATGTCATGAACTGCGCTTTCATCATGGCTGTGGCCTCATGGTCTTGTGCCGCACGATTCCGAAGGAAAGAGTCAATCTCATCAATGAAAATAATACAAGGTTGAATTTTCATAGCCTGCGGGTAAAAGAATATATATATAATAATTTTGAAGCCAGTAATAATAATAGACTGACTGTAACAACTAGCTAATATATACATACACACATTAAAGCACTTATGTTGTGCAATGCCATGAAGGTCAGAGCCTCTTTATTGTTTTATTTATATTAATAATAGACTGTAGCAATGAAATACTACTAACTGTAGACAAGCAGGAAAATGCAAGGGAAAAGTGTGATAATGCATGAAAACATAAGAATTAGGATTGAAATGAACTCACTAATGAAAAAACTGCACCGGACAATTTCTGCGATTCTCCGTACCATTTGTCAGTAAGACCTGATGCCTGCAAATTTATAAACCGGCAACCAGATTCACGGGCAATGGCCCTAGCGATCATTGTCTTACCGCACCCAGGTGGGCCGTGGAGTAGCACACCTTAAAAGAAGTTACGTACACGCAATCAAATGAGTATTTTTATCCAATCTCAATTATTCTATTTGAAATTGCAGTTGTTGTACAGAATATAGGACTAGAAAACAATTTTCGCCAACATTTAAAAAATACAATTCCAATTTCCTATAGTCTTACATTTGAAAGGTTTGTAAATCAGTGAAAACATCAGTGAAGACACATATTATATTTTATCCGTGACTTTATTGAAAAGATGCTATAGTCCAAATTCAAGTTTCTCTTTACTTAATATACAATATAAAATACATAAACTTATTATTAAAAAAAAGTTAAATGAGCAGTGTTAAAGTACAAGATATATAGTTAAGATACAACTGATTAGTCATTATAAAAAATATTTAATAAACATAGAGTACATAAACATTAGAATTTACTTAAATACATTTATACACTGGTGAAACAATGAACCAGAAATCTAACAAATTTATATTTCCCAATTGCAATTTGAAGAAAAAAGCCAAGGATGATAAATGTCCTTCCTTCTGATTACAGTTCAGTTTCTTAATGCTAAAATTTGTGGCCATTTTCAATAAGCTTATATTAAAAAGATAAAGATTATCATACTAACCTTTTGGTGGGCTAAGTAATGAGGAGTTTGAGAATAAATGCCTCTTCTGTAACGGTAGAATAACCATGTGCTTCACTTCATCTATCACATCGTCCAGGCCGCCAATATCGTCCCACGTGGTCCGTAGCGTGCTTGGATCCAAGAGCTGGGCTGCTATTGACATTTCATACTCTGATAAGGTCACATTTTGCACTCCAATTCTCATCATCAACTTTTTAGCCTAAAAGTAAAAATAATAAACAGCTTTACTTTCAGTCAATAGAGATGTGAAATTAGGGCTGTCGTGATATTTTCTACGCAAGATGAGCCATACAGAGACGCCTCCAAAATACAATACGATATTTTCATTGGTTAAAAAGATGGTGGACTGTTCAATTCTGAAAAAAGTTAGATTTTTCCATTAATTATCTAATGAAAAGAATCCAATTTAGATGTGTTATAAAACAAATAATGAATGTTTCTTATTCGTGCAATGGAAGTAATATTTTCCATTCCAACAGTCAATCTTTCAACTAATGAAATTATTCTTCTCAACGCACTTATGAACATTCATTATTAGTATACTATAATAAACTTTAAATGTAATTTTATCTGGTTTGCTTAAATATTATTGTAGAACTGCATATATTATTGCAGTAAGTTAACATCAATTGTGTTTGGTTTATTAACGATCGAAACAGTTGTACTATAATAAACTTATTTGTAATTGGTTACCTCCTTCTGTGCTTCATCTTTTTGCTTCTTAGTGGGATCCATAGCATTTACAATCCACTTAACTCCGAAGTATGTGCAAGCGCCAAGTAGTGTCAGACGGAACAACATTCCAATGACCTCATCTCTACTAAGACGCATCTTACTGATATACGTCTCTTCATGCATGATCAAACACTGTGGCTAGTCTCACTCCAAATCAAAACTTGATATTTTCTGAAGAGTTAGAAGCAAGAAAAACATTATAACTCTTAGCAAAGATTGTTCTTAAATAAATGTGGAAAATGTAAAACTAATGGTGATTTCAGATGAGTTTTATGGTGTATGTACTTCCGGATGGAGACTGTATATCAACAAGTATGACAGAAACTTGACAATTCTTTTGGATTTCAAAGAACTCCTAAAGTCTAAAATTCCCAAACACCCATCAACTGCAACGTGTCAGACCATACAACCAGAAAAAACAGATTAATTTTGCCCTTAACTTCCCCTTCCATCAGAAATTGACAGACCCCCCCCCAACCAAATATTCCCCATCTCCTGTCAGCCAAATCGGGTGCCACCACTGCTTCTTCTTGTGTGTACAACTTTCAACAGATTTTGCAGGGGTCCCTAGTTGGAAGGATCCACATCCGGGAAATCTGTTTAAATAAGCTTTTTTTATATTCTGCTGTGGAAGATGATAGCCATTCGCACTGACATCCGGGAGATAATTGATAATACAGTATTAAAAATTGCGTAAAAATGTCTAAATATCGTTAAATTTGTGATAGGTGGTTTACCTACCGGGAGATTCTTGCTTGCTCACAGGAATGTGAGGGAGGTTCCCTGACTTCCGGGAGACTCTGTGAATTCCGGGAGGCTTGGGACCCTGGATTTTGACCTCACCTGAACTTGTTGCAAAATATTGAACAATATTACTGCTTCCGATATCAAATTTTACCTAGACTGGAAAACAAAATTTATTTTTGGTATTTCTTAGACTCTGGTTTATATAGGCACAAACCTAAGCCTGTATCTTCTACTAACTCAGACTTAACATGATCCAAACATATTTTTGACTGATCATGGACTGTAATAGGCCTAGGCCTAACTAATGAATCTGGGGTGAATCCAGGATATGGAATCAGTAAACACAACACAAAACTTATCTACAGGTACAGAGTATGCAGGATGCCTACACTACAATAGTAACACTACTACTACTACTCAGGCAGCTAGTTGGTAGCAGGTCAAAACAGCAATAAACCAAACGGCAATGACCAAAACGGCAATGATAATTACCAAAACGGCATAGACTACAATGGCAAAGGAGTGAAATCAATGCCAAGGCTAGCAAGCACCAGCGGGCGCGGGCCAGAGTTATAATTTTCTGAATTGTTTTGAAATTGTCCCAAAAGGCAAACCAAATATTGCCATGGGCTCTTTATCCCACTTTTAATGTTTATTATTATTATTATTTTGCACTTTTTTACTTTTATGACATAAATTGTTTAGCCTTATTTTGTCTGTATTTGAAAGTTTCATTTAAATGTTTTAATGCTTTTATATTGTACCCCCCCCCCCATCTTTTTAATATTGAATTTGTATGACTATTTTTATTATTATTATTATTGTTATTATTATTATTACTATTATTATTATTATTGTTAATGATTGCTGTTGCTATTAATTAGCCTAATTTTTATCGTATTTAATCGTAGTACACTTTCATGTTTATAATCAGTTTATTTTTTCGCAGTTTTACTTTTATGACATAAACTGTTTAGCATCGTTTTGGTCTTGGTGTTTTGACTTATTGCCGTTTTTTAAAATTTATTGCATATTGGTCTAGGCCCCTATTGCCGTCCTGGTCAAAAAGTGTTGCTGTTTTCTGGTTTTTTTTGGTCATTGCCATTTTGACTTATTGCCCTTTTAGTTTATTGCTTTTGTCCAGAAACCTGATAGTTTAGTAGCCTCAACCACCTTCTATAAGCAATGACCAGTACTACTGCAGAGTAGGCCTAGGCCTAGATAACAATGTAGGCCTAGTAGGCGCGCCTCTCTCTAGTAGGTAGGCTAGGTGGCCTAGCTAGGCCCTAGCCTAGGCCTTCTGATGAAATTTCTAGGCCAAGGCTTAGTAAGCCTAAGCCTATGTACGCTTTAGTGTTGCATATAACAATATCTCATTTATCATGTTTTTGATACACTGATAATTATAATATAAGACAAAATACATACTGAAATACTGAACGATACTCAACGACTAACTATAATCACCATTATTTTTTCAACAGCTTAAGGATGGATATGCGTACGGCGACTGGGTGTACAGTATCAAGAAAATTGCGTCCATGCACGCAACGTTGTATTTGTCTCTACTGTTCTACTAAAGTAGAAGACTCAACTTTTTGATTAAAAAGATTTATATTGATATTCGAAAACATGAATGAATA